GGGCAGGACAAGGAGTCAGACCCTATTCATTCATGTGCAGAAACCGGAAGTGCGTGTGAGGCATGAAGGGTCACCCCCCGAACGGGCTTCTGAACGAACAGTCGGGTTTTGCCTGTGCTCGGTCTCACTGGCGAAGGCGTCTCCTGCTGGCACAGGAGTGGCAGTTGCATGCATGCGTGTCTGTGCACCCGTGTGGGGGCCCGTGGGGGCCTGCATGTGTGTGCACACGAGTGTGCATGTGTGTACTCAGGGCTCCAGAGCTGAGTGAGGCAGAGCAAACGGCTCCCCAGTCGGGTGACTGCTGGGGGCCATCCCAGAATGCACCCCCTACAGCCTGGCCTTCCTCATCCAGCTGACGGCAGTGCCACGTGGTTTGAGCTCCAGGGACCCTGCTCCCTGGGAGGCTGCTGTTGGCATGAGCTCCCAGGCCGGGTCTGCCGTGGTTCCAGATGGGACGCTGGCACCGGGCCCCCGGCCTCAGGCTCTCCCCGTCTGCCCTGCAGGGCACCAGCGTCTGTCTGTGACCAGCCTGCTCGTCTGCCACGGCTTGCTGATGGTCGGCACCAGCCTGGGACTCGTGGTGGCCCTGCCGGTCCCTCGTCTGCAGGGCATCCCCAAGGTGACAGGTAAGGATACATCTCCTGGCCTCTGCCCTGGGACCTCAGTGAGGTCCTTGGCGTGGGTCCTGTTTCTGCCTGGGCAGTGACTTAAACGATTTAAGTTAGTAACATCTTCATCTACTCTAAAGATTACATCTGTTAGTTTGAGCACCCTCTTGTTTTCCTATTTCATAGTGTCGTAAGGTATATACTGTAACTTATGGCGCAATAGAAGATACAGGGTTATCGCACGCATGTCGTAGTGTGTAACGGTTTGTGTTCCCCGGGTTCTCTGCCTCGGTGTCCCCATTTCTGTGAGTGGCCCAGGGAGAGCGGTTCGCCTTTCTTGTCCCCTGTCGGTGCCTGTGATCAGACATGGGCTGGAAGCAGAGACCACCCTCACGAAAGCTCTGTTCGCATTAACTGAAAACCGCGAGAGCGTCACCTGGTCGCCATTTCGGTGTTAACTGTCACTCGTGTGTCAGGGTTCTTGGCAGGATTTTTGTCAGTGATGTGAGAGGCGGGTGGGCGGCCCAGCCCGCCCCTGCCCGCCGCACCCGGCAACGCTGAGCCTTTCCCCCGCAGGGAGGGGCATGGTCTCCTACCACGCACACAACGGGCCTGTCAAGTTCCTGGTCGCGGCCACGGCTGCCCCCACGGCAGACAAGAACAAGCCCAGGGATAGCCCGCCCCCCGGCACAGACCCCCAGGATGAAGACCAGAAGGAGGTGGCCCCCGGCGAGGGGGCCAGGCCCTGCCTGAGCCCGGGCAGCCCCGACGCCGTGTGGCTGGGGGCCTCACCGGGCTGCGCGCTGCCCAGCGGTGAGCCGTCCTCGTCCCCCGGGTCCCTGGAGCCCGAGGACGGCGTCGTCTGTGACCTCCTGCGGCACCCCGGCACCCGGCCGGGCCCCAGGCGGCGAGCCAGGACGGCGCGGGCCGGCTCAGTGCTGGTGGTGTGCGGGGGCCAGGGCCACCGGCGGGTGGGCAGGAGGGCCCGGCAGCCGCGGCCCGAGGAGCCGGCCTCCTCCATCATGGTGTGGCAGATCCCCCTGCTGCACGTGTGACGGCCGGGTGACCGGCCACAGCCGCGTGGACCGGGGACCGCTCTGCACAGTCTTTGGGGGAGAAATGGGCAACACCGTGACGACGGCGGCGCTCTCTGCCCGTGCGTCCTGTTCACGCGGGGACCTGGGCAACACTCCCCGAGGAGGCGGGAGACGGTGACGCCGAGCGGCCAGAGGTCCGGCGCTCAGGGAGTCTGCAAGCCACGGGCCCGCGGCGAAGGGATTTGTCAGCGGTTCTCAAAGTACCTTCCTGCGCAGGTTCCCTACCCGTATTTATATTGTATGCCTTTCAGTTCCAGGGTAGCGTTCGCGACGGTGAAGGAAGCCAGGTGACACGGGGCCCGTCCAGGGGTGTCACTCGCTTTCCGACGTGAGCTGGGTTCCCCAAAGTGGCCTAGTGCGCATATTGTATATTTTAACAAAGTAGTATTTTTATACTGCATTTTTCTATTAAAAATTAACAGTTAATGTTTTAGTCAACATATTATATTTCATAAATGATGTTGGCTTTGAACCAAAACGCCCCTGGGTGCCTGCCCACATTCAGGCTCCAGCGTCGACGCCAAATGCCCCCCCTTAGAGCGGGCGTGCGTCCCCGTCTTGTGGGCGAGGCGTAGACGGTCGCGGCTGAATCTTCAGTGCTCTCCTCGGCAGCTGTTCTCCTGGAACACTGCCTGTTCTGTGGGGCTGGCCGTGGGGAGCGGGCCCGGCCCCTGCCGCCGGGTTCCAGCTGCGGGAGTCGTGGTGGGTGGAGGGTCCACGGGTACAGCCCACTCTGCGTGGGCTCGGCCGTCCCAGTTCTATGCGCTGGACGACTGAAACATGAACGCTGTGTCCATTTGCCAGAAATGCGTTTCTTCTTAGCACTTTACAGGTGACTAAACACGCTAATTCTGTGACTTTGCCAAATACCTTCAAGGTGCCCATGTTGTTCCGTGTGACGGACCCCCCCCCCCCAGACTGCTAGCTGCTGTCCTCCTGCACAAATAAAGTCTTTCTATTTGAAGGCGCAGCGTCCTGGGTTGCCTTTTCCTCCCACGAAGCACAGAGGGGCAGCTCCGTCCTGGAGAGCGGCGAGGGGCGGCCTCCGGTCCTTTCAGGGCGGGGTCACCATCGCTGGTTTAGGGGTGTCGTTCCGGGCAGAGCCAGTCCCGGGGCTGGGACGTGTGCCGGGGGATTGGAGTAGTGGCGGGGGCTCCAGAGACGCACGCCCTCTGCCCCGCAGTCACTGTGGCCTCAGGAGCGTGGTCAGTTGAATGGGAAGCACAGACAGGTCTCCAGACGGAGCCAGTGAGGTCCGACTTCACTGCTGGGCAAAGCCGCAGCCCCCGAGGTGCCTTTGTGTAGTCCGAGGGGCGGAGAGGTGCCGGTCTGCACCGACTTCTCCCGTGACAGACTCCTGAGGATCAGGAGCTGACGCCACCGATGGGAGCACTCGCCTCTGCTCCGTAAGGACCTGTGGCCGGGAGCAGCGGACTGTCGCACGTCACACACACGCGTGCGGAAGCCCTGCCGAGCCCGTGACCGCAGCAGCGCCCTCGGGCTGCCACACCGCTTTCCTCTGCAGGACCGAGGCATTCAGGGCGCCTTCCGGTGGGGAGCCCGGGGTTGGTGTTGCCGGGCCCCGCCCCGCCCTGGGGCCCTCGCACTCGGCAGGGCCCAGGTCTGAGTGGGGTCCACGCGGCGCCAGCCCCTCCCGCCGTCCCAGGCTCAGGCGCCTGCCTGTGGGGTCAGCACCCAGCGTCCCAGCAGCAGCCTGGACGGGCGACGTCAAAGCCACAGCCTCGGGTGAGTCTGGGGCCGCGCTGTGGGCCGAGCGTGCCCCCAGATTCACGTGCTCCACCCTGACCCCCAAGGCCATGGTGCCAGGAGGCGGAGCCGCAGCAGGGGGTGAGGCCCTGCAGGTGAAGCCCCGGAGTGGCGTCGATGTCCCTTGTACAGGACCCTCCCGCCAGGGGAGGTCACAGGGAACCCTCCCCAGACACCCAGTCCGCTGGCCTTGGTCTGGACCTGCTTCAGGAGGCTGGACCTTTCCTAGGAGCACAGGGCCGAGGAGTGGAAGCGTTCTGTCAACGCCGGGCACTCGTCAGGCGTCCAACGGGGCAGGTTATGGGGGGGGCGCGGTGTGGAGGTTGCGGTGCCGCCCTGCTCTCTCCTGTCAGGCCTGAGAGAGGGCCCAGAGGAAGATGTGTGGACCGTGGGGTGGCCACTCTAGGACGGTTTCCCGGGACTTTGCTGTGTGAAAGTGAGCGCCTGTTTGGGGCACACAGGACTTTTGGCTCCTTCTCAGAAGCCATTTCTTCCACACCCGTGCGTGCACAGGCACACACATGCACGCACACACACTCCAGGCACCCCACCCCTCCCTGCAGGGCCATGTGGACAGTGTTTATTCGGGTGGAAAAGGCAGGAGGCAGCTGGCAGGGCCCAGGCCCGGCTGCGCTTTGCTCCCTGGGACCGGCGCCAACACGGGGGGGTGGGGGGAGAGTTAACCCTTGCGCAGCAGGTCAGAGGGCGAAGCGGGTGCCACTGCCGTGTTCCAGTGAGAACCTGCAGGGAGGGCAGGGAGCAGGCACCTGGAGTCCGCCACCTGCACCCTGAGGGTGACTGTGCGTCCCGAGCACCCCTCCCTCTCCGGCAGCCCCGCCCGCCCCCATCCCTCCGTAGCTCTGCTCAGACCGCCGCCCCTTGGGGTTGCTTCCCCCAACCCCCATTTCACGGAAGGGGACACGGGCCGGGGTCTGGCCCACGGTGACTCTGTCAGGGAGCGGGGATGCTGGGAGCAGGGGCGCATGTCCCGTGGTGGCCCCAGGCAGGTGGCCGCTGGTGAGCCACCGTCGAGAGGAGCGCTGCCCGTGGGGGATGGTGCCAGCCCTGCTCGTCGGCACAACCTGGCAGAATCAGGGTGACAGCCCCAGACTGTGGGGAAGGAGGGCTGAGACGCGGACCCCGTGCTGGCACCGGGGGCTCGGCCAGGGTTGCGTAATCGAGCGGTCTGGAGCCCGGCCAGCAGCTGAAGCAGACACACAGAAAGTGCTCTCAGGAGTCGGGATGTCGTGCAAGACAGAGCTTCTCCTCGGGGTCGATCGGAACCTCAGGGACGAGGGAGTGCGGGGCCCAGCGGTTTGCAGGCTGCAAACGTGGGGCCAGACGGCCCACCGCTGAGGTTCTGGGGGGATCCTTCTGCGAGGAGACCCTGTGGGCAGGCCAGCGCCAGGCTGCGCCGCCACCCTCTGTACCGGCAGGCCGTTCGGGGACCCTGGTGGCGCCCGTGCGGGAGGGCGGGGAGGGTGAGTCGAGTCGGAGACTCTGGTGCCTCTGCTCCGTCCGTCCCCCCAGCCCCGCCTGCCCTGGCTCCGCAGACAGTGTGGGTGGGCACGGAGCCGGGCGGCCCAGAAGTGAGGGGACGGCCCGGAGCACAGCCAGGGCGGCCTGGCACCTGCGCGGACGGGCAGCAGAGGACCCGCTGGGCGCGGGCGGGTGAGTACGAGCACTCCTCTAAAAATAACGGCTTGCTCTTTTCCTTACTTTTATTTTTTTTGGTGCTGACAGATGGCATCCCGCTCTGTCTTTAGCTCTGTCGTTGTCAACCCTGGCAGTGCCCCCCCCAAGGGGACAGTTACAATGTCTGGGGACATGTTGGTCGTCACCACTAGTGAGTACCAGGAGCTGCTAGTGTGGGGGCCAGGGATGGGGATGGGGGTGTCCCCCACCCCACCCCGTGAAGGGCCCCAGGCTGGAGCCCTATGTGGTAGCCACACGGCCATTCGATTTGAATATAAACTGTCGCGTGCCTGTCACGACACGGGGACACAGGCGTGAGCCAGGGCCACGGCCAGAGCACTTGGCGTGTCACCCCCCAGACTCGAGGTCACACTCGGCCGGGAGGGAGGACACGGTGCCGGGTCCTTTGGCGTGCTGGGCACAGGCACACCCAGCGTTCCGCGTCGCCACACGGAGACCCTCAGTGAGCCCCACCAGGGACGGGCTCCGTGGGACCCACAGGGCCCGTGGCTGAGCCTCCTCTCCTCACCCGTGGGTCAGAAGTGGGCTGGTCGGGACCAGAGCGCAGAGCTGGCAGGAGGTACAGACAGAAAAATGTCGGGGGAGGCCTCTGCGTGAGCCAGACAGGCTGCCGTGTTCACACAGGGCTGCGGTGACCCGTGGACCCTGCTTCCCGCCGCCCCGTCTCCCCCGTCTCCCTCCTCCCGGCGGGGTCCCCGCGACCACCCCGTAACCTCCTGCCTCCTGTGGACGCCCACGGTTGGCTCAGGGCTGCGGTGCTGCCTGTCCGCAGAGGCCGGGCCCGTTGCTGAGAGAACAGCTCTGTCTTCCTGATGATTTTACAAGGTTTTCATTTGTGTGGCAATTCACTTTCGGGACTGAAAGTCAGAAAAGCGTCAACGGAGCATCAGGACAGGTGGTCTGAAGGCCCTGCTTCTACAGAAACGACGCACAATGGTCACTTCAGGTTGCTGGGGCTGCCGTGACAACGGGCCCCAGGGTGGGCCCGGGGGCTTCCGAGAGCAGGGCCGGGTTCCCCGCCTCAGTCCCTGGTGCGGGCTGGTCTGCACCCCTCTGCCCCTGCAGGCTCCGGGGCTCCGCAGGACTCGGGCTGCCGCCGTGCGCCAGCGTCCCTGCCGTCCCTGCTGGTGACCGGGTCACCACAGCTTGTCTCCATGGTCACGGGCATGTGTGTGCCTGGCTCCCTCTTCTTACCCAGGTCACACTGAATTAGGGTGATGAAGGGCCCTTATTTAGTGTATCCTTTGGAGAATTTGCTATGAAAATAGTTGAAACGCCTTGAAGAACACGGCCACCCCTCAGTACGCGACGGCTCCAGACCTCGCCAGACCCTGTACGCACTGCATTTTGACGAGAAAAACACGTTTCAGCTCCCGGCGCTTGCTCGGGACTCGTTGCACTTGCTAGAACGTGTGTGTCACACCATGGCCCCGCGAGGGGAGAGGCTTCATTGTGTGTTGTTTGCTCACCGCTCATTGCTTTCAACACTCCTGGTGCGCGCTGAACAAAGTCACGATGAGTTGTGAGGTACCACTTTAGCTTAAAGACTATTAACTTTTTGAAAAAATAAAAAATATATTTTAAAAGATTTTATTTATGTGTTTTTAGAGAGGGAAAGAGAGGGAAACATCAGTGTGTGGTTGCCTCTCCTGCGCCCCCTACTGGGGACCTGGCCTGAAACCCAGGCGTGTGCCCTGACTGGGAAGTGAACCGGCGACTGATTCTCAGGTCGGCACTTCATCCGCTGAGCCACACCAGCCAGGGCTGAAAACTAGTAACTTTTTATTTTTATTTCTTTTCAAAGAAGGTTTGTGAGGATCGACACCAGTAAACCCGAGGGCCACATGGTGGCCATAGGTTTGCTCTCGTGACAAGCATGTGCGGCCTCCAGGTCACCTCCCTCCTCTGAAGGCGGGTGTGCAGCTGACTTGTCCACAGAGGACATGGGGTGGGACAACTGGAGGCGGCGGCAGGCAGTCCACGCAGCCGTGTGCCCACTGACTCCACGGCCACCGAGCAGGCCTCTCAGCACTGGCCCGGGGCCTCCGGCCAGCAGGCGGCTCCCTGTTCTCCTATTCGGACCAGGGCTGAGGGGCCTCCCTTGCACCCAGGGGCCACCTGGAGTGACAGCGGGGTCTCGGAGGAGCAGAGAGCTCTCCCTGCATGAGGCTCTCGGCCAAGAGCTTCTGAGACAGTTGGGACAACTTGGCCGTGAGGGAAGAGCTCCAGGATACTCAGGAAGCAGCTCACATGAGGCAAGGGCACCCCGAGTTCATCAGCGCCAGAGGGCGCCCGGGAGGGCGGAGCTGCGGGGACGACGGCTTTCCCTCCAGCAGAAAGGGCTGAAGTTCTCGGTGCGACCGTGGATGCTGTTCCGACGCCAGCTCGCAGATAGCTAATTAATTTTTCATGCCAAGAGACTGAAAGTACTTTGTAGCAATTGGATCCATTCCTGACAGCTACCGGAATTTAACTGCTGCCTTTTGGAAGGCAGGGGAGGGCACAGGAACTCACGGAGACTATTGAAAGCTTTGGGGAAACTATCCAGTGCTTGGTGTTGGACGCACAGGAGGACCTGCCAGGCTCAGAACCAGGGACTGTGGCCGACCGGCCGCCCCCCTCCTGTGGGTCCACACCAGGGATGTGCACGTAAAACCTGAAATCTGTGTGCAGAGGTGAAAACGCTTTCGGCCCGTCCCTCGGGGGGCGGGGACAGGACCGGAGGGGACACCTGCGCCGCCCCGCCCCAGGGCTGGGGTCCTCGGCTCTGAGTGCAGCGCTCCCACTGTCTCGGCCCCCGGGGGGGTGCCCCACGGGGAGGGTGCCCCCACACCCCATTCGGAGAAGAGGGTGCTGGGCACGGAGAGGTGAAGGGTCCAAAGTGCACAAGACTTGGGAAGGGCGCCATTGGTCTTTGAAACCCTGTCTGTCGAATGCCAAAGCGGGCGTTGTCCACGCCTCCCTGCAGCCCCCAGGCAGGGCTCAGAGTCCCGAGACCCGGGCCGGGCCGCTGGACTGCCACACTTGGGGGCGGTCACCGCCACACTAGAACAACCCTGTGAGCGTGTGTTTTCCGGGCCAGGTTTGCACGCTCATGTGTGTGTATTTGTTTTCAAGTTGGCAGGGAATTGAACTAGTAAAACATGGTTACTTGTGAAATACTGTCGAAGCAGCTGTTCTTGAACACTTAGGTCTGACCCTTCTCCTTGACATGGCTGCCCCCGGGGACTCCAGGTCCCTGTGCCTCCCCTGGGCTCCTGAAGCCACGGACGCTCCTCTGCGGCTCCCGCGGCCCGTGTCGGGACGCGGCACACTCAACCACGGAGCCTCCGTCGTCCGAGTCAGGCCGGCTTCCTGCTCTGCTCACCGACTGGACGGAGTAGGGTCCGGGTTGCCTCCTGTAGGTTTTCGTTCCATCAGCAAATACTCACTGAGAATCTAGACTGTGGCACACATCCCAGACCCAGTGGGAAGACGAGTTAACTGTGACTCTTCCCTGCATCGGATCGGAGAGTGGTGGAGAAGACAGGCCAGGCCAGGATGGCACCAAGATGGGGACAGCCGAGGGGCCTTGGTGGCTCACCTGTGGGGGGTGGGGGGTGGGGGGGGGGGGGTGGGATCCAGGTGCAGCGGGAGCTGTGGGCCCACCCAGAGTTGCTCTTGAAAAGAAGTGGGAGGCGGGCCAGGGAAATGGCTTCGACCGCCACCCAGACCCCTTTAAGTCACTGGTGTGGGCGACCTAGCCCCAGGCAGGCCCTCGAAGGTCGGCAGACACGCTGAAAAGGCCTCAGGAGATTCTGAAAAGGGGGGAGATGGAACAGCCTAAACATGGAGCAGGAGGGGAAATATCTCAGCCCCCGAGGGTGCCTTTCTGCTGGAGTGACCTGGTCGCCATAGGCAGGCAGGGGTGCACAGAAGCGGCTTACAGGTGTCTGTGTGGGACAGACTTGCAGGTCTCGCCTGTAACCCCCCTCTAGCCCCCCCTGCATGCACCCCAACAATTGGATGGTTTCTGTCCCCTGGAACCCAGATGCTGTGTGAAGGACTCTGCTTGGCAGCTGAACGGACATGGCTGTGCGGCTGTTCTCAGGACAGGTGGGACCGTCCAGGAGTGTCGAAAAGCAGAACCTAGGAAAAGAGAGTCCAGGCTCCGACTCCGCCCCCTGGAGTCTATGGAAATCCGATTACTATGTAGGACGACATAACGTTTAAGAACCGCGTTTACCATCAGGAGTTCTGCCTTGGACCTAGTTCCCGGGGGAGTCCTGCCAGGGAACCGGGTCTCTCTGCCCACGCGCAGGTGTGCGGGCCTGCTCGTCCACCGGCCGGAGGGGACATGGTCGCCCCTGGGGACCGCCGGAGTGGAGGCTGCGTTTCCAGGACTAGGAACAAGTTCCAACGTGCGGTCCGTTTTCTTTTTCATTCTGGAATCTGTGAGGACGTGGGCAACAGGTTTCTAATCACCGACTATGCCAACAGTGCACCGTCCATCCCCGGTTTTACGAGACTATATAAACCGTGAGCTCCCTTACTCCGCGTTTGCTGGGGCGCGGGGGGTGCCGCGGGGGCACAGAAGAGCAGAGCCTCGGGCAGGGACGTTCTGCCCTCCGCGGGTGGGGGCTCACGTGCCCCGTTCGTAGGGAAGCAGGTGTGTAGGGTGACGCGCCGCCTGCGGGCGCGCTCCCTCCTCAAGCCCCCTTCCCGCCGGGCCTCAGCGTCCACCTCCGGGCCACCCCACTCGGCCGGGCCCCCGCCCCCGGCCCGCGCCGGCGCGCTCCACCCGGAGCCGCCCCGCCGCGCAGCCTCGCGCTCCTCCCAGCGGCTGGGCCTCGGCGCGCGCGGGTGAGTGCGGGGGTCCGTTGCGGTTGCTTCCCGGGGGCGGGGGCCCCGGGGGCCGGGAAGGTGCGCGGACCGCGAGCGCTCGCACAGGTGCCGAGCGGTGGCTTGCGCGCGCG